GTGGGTCGTCTTCGATTGGCAAAGACGCCCATGGAACGCGGCTGTCCCCCTTTGCCTGGTTTGCCAAATTCGTGGTACCGGGGTCTGGGAAAGGAGCCTTAGAATCTGGTTGGGGGCGTTTTGGTCTCATCCCACGCTATGGGGTCTGATCCCGAAACCACACCGACCGGGTAGCGTTTGGTCCAGCGGGAAGTGTTGCCTAATGTTTTCCCCACCTGGGGGCCTTAAGCGTTACATCCTCAGCGGCTTACCAGCGCCGCCCATCAACACTGTTTGCATGCTCTGCGCCCCACTCCACACTCGGACGGACAGGGAGAGATGTGCCGACAGGGTTGCTTTGGATCCCGACGCCTGTGATCCCATAAGCTTTGAAGCAACCTTAGGTGGTCGCCTTAGGATCAAGAGTGGGGGTATTTACATTGTATCACTGAATCAATGATACTCCGCATCACCCCAAAAGCGCGACTCACCGAGTCATACGGATGGAAGACTCTGAGGGACCGCCCGGAGTACCGGTTGTATTCGACACAAGCTAACTGCGTCTCCTTTCACTTTAAATATGTGAGAGGGAGCGTGTTCGACTGAGCGTCTCATGACAGGGTCGGTTCCCTCTGGGGACGCCCGTGGGTCGGTAAGAAGGGAGTCAAAACCCACAGCGGAGACCGGACACAAGGATAAATTCGTTACTGTTGTACCGTTACTGCGTGATGAACCCTAGCTGGCTGAAAGTAGAGGAGGGTCAACGTGTGCCCTGCCCTGAAAGCCCTGCCCCGAGATTGTAGGCTTGGCTGACAGCACCCAGTTGGCATTCAGTGCCCAAGGCTCCAGAGGAGGCCCGGTGCAATTAACCTGAGCCTCGGCCTCCCCCAAAAATATTGGGAGAGCCGCGGCTGGGAACGGGGGTTCCCTGGAAGAGACGTGTTTGAATGCAAACATGCTTACGTGTTTCTTCCTGCTTGCCCACCAAGGTCTGATCTACCTGGCCTTCCTGGGACGCAATTGCCCCGACAGTCCTTTGACCAAAGCCCTCAACTCGGAGGCAAACCCGGCACCGTACGAGGAAGGATCCACAAAGGGACCCGCAACGAGCCCCAGAGGAAGAAAGCCTCTAGGGGCACAGCCTCGCTGCAGCTGGTAAAATCCGGTAAACCACCACCTAAAAAAACACACTGTGAGGATGCACTCCGATCAGCGGGGGGAGACCGAGAAAAATATTGGTACCTCCACCATCGGGCCTCCTACTCGATGTCCTTGTACACGAAGCACCGGTAGCCGAGTGTGAGGACTTTCCACTCATGCAAAACATGCAACTCACTTTAACCGATTTGTTTACTAGACGCGCGACCTTGCTGTGATGCGGTTAGTCTCAGCGATTTTGATGGCTCTGAAAGAAAATCTCAGGCCTCAGAACACACGAAACCAGCAAGTGGTTACGTAGTGGCACCAGGTTTATATTTCTTTGTTGTGAAAAAACAACACGAGGGGGAAAATGACAAGGAAAACTTATCCTACCAGCTACAATTTCGGATGCCATGCAGCGGCACCAACCCACGCTGGAAACCCAGACAGGAAAAAGCAACAGAGCCAGGCAGAGCCGCTCAGAATCATTCCCGGGAGGCGGAGATGAAAGAAGAGTGATTGTACGGCTGCCATGTGGGCTCGGTAACGTGGGTTCGTGACGCAAAGGGTAAAAGAATCTTGGGGTCACTGGACTTCCTCTGACCTAGATTCTATCTCTCTGTCACCGGCAGAATCGCTGATTAATGCCTACAGTTCAAAATAGTCATTTTGACTGACCGGAGTCTATGGTGGGTAATTGAACGTAGTGAATTGAGACCTTACCAAGCTTTAAGTAGGTATTTTTTAGGTATCCGTGGTAATTAGTGCACGTTACACCCAGGTCAAATCTCATACTTCTGATTTCCTAGAAGAGCACATTGGATTGTGGGAAAATTAGTGTTTATCAACACAAATGTCACACATGCACCGTGCTTATTGTCCCAACAAACTATACTAATATATAAGTAGTGTAACGATGTCATTTTTAGACAGTCAGACCCAACGACAAGGAGTTTGTGAACAAAAACACAAAAATAACATGGTGGATTGGACATAAATTATTTGGTTGACATATTTGGGTTTTATTAAAATTAGTTTTATGAAGAATTTTGTATGTTTCCTCCAAGTAAGTTGTTACAACAATTATCAGAATGTATTTTTAATTTTATTTCCCCGAATAGATTGTCACCTCAAAACCCAGTTACGGATTTTCACTATAATCTAACATCTAAAAACAGGTATTGATCAAATCCTATGTTTAGTCTAGAATGCAACAGTATACTATACCGGTAATTATAATCAACATCATACTCTTGGGCCAATCTGTTCAAAATCTGACGCATCTTGTGGCATGCAATTTTTGTTTCAAACTTTTTGTTATTTTATATTTTATTTTAACTGCTTTCAAAAACATAGTTGAACTCTGGTGACCTTGCCCTTTGTTATATTATATAATTCCCTTTATCATAGTTTGTTTCAATATAAATATGCATTGTCATTATTAATTTTGAATACAAACAAGTTTTGGGGTTGAACCAACAGTGGGGAATCAGTCTACCGAATGTCCTTTAAAGATGTAAATATCTTACAAAAACATTGGTGCCTTACTTGTTTAATTATTTTAAGGGACATAATTTCTAGCTTTATTCAAAGTAATTCAGATATTTTATTATAAAAACAAATGCCTCATCGCAAAAAAAAAAGTGCTGCATTTAGACGTGAATAGATTCATAAAACATGCAAGATAACAGAAAATCTTAGCTGGCTTTTGTCCAAGTATTTTGTACAGGTGTCTGTCAAAAATTAATGATTCACTGAGACAAATATGAACTGCCTCATTGTGTGACTACTGTATTATATGAAAAGTAAAAAAAAAAAAC